GCTGTAGTTCTTGTGTAGAACGTAGCGACGGTTGAATTCGGTTGGCTATCGAGATTTGTACCTTCACCGATTGATAAAACGCGTATTTCGTTTGACATGTGTTCGCTCAGACGGGATAATGTCGATTTCTAGACGATCCGGCCCTTGTAAAAAAAAGATGTTCCGGCCCTGGTTTGGACATTCCGGCCCCAAAATAGTTTGGTCGATCCGGCCCTGGTGTAAATTATATTCGATACGTGTTCATATCTAATGTTAATATATTAAATGCACAACGAATGCTTGACTATCTTGTTTAACAACTATTTTTCGTCTTTTGCAGGGCATTTTCACGATTTCACACCGTGTTTGACAGATGTATGTTCATTTATTCGCCGCCTATGCACGTGAACGGCAGACATTATAATACACATCTAATACAATCTGTTTTAGTCAGGGTTCGAATGCACATTCATGGTTTGTCGCGTAATGGACGTCAATATATTAAATGTGTGACTATCTTATCCACAATTTTTTTTCATCTTTTGTAGGACTTATCAGAGTTCATGGAAAGATTTCAGCCAATTTTAACACTTACGTTTTAGCACAATGCAAGGGTCGTACACACTTTCCGGTCGGGCGGTACACCGTCAAAGTACACACAATCATTGTAATGAGAATGAGGAGTGTAGCAAACATGCTCCAGAGACAATGTCCCATAGAGCCGTCATGTAGGCGTTAATGATGTCTTGCTTGTTCCCATACCGTTTCTCGAGAAGTTCAATGGCAGTATCATAATTTACGTCAGTCATGGCAAGTCCATCAATGAGTCGCTTAGCTTCGCCTCCAAGAAAACTTCGGAGATACGTGAATTTCTGGACATTAGACAACTGATTGTCTGAATGAATAGCAGCGTTGTACGTATCATAGAATTCAGTCCAGAGAATGGGATTTCCTTGAAATGTAGGAATCTCATGTTTCGGTAGCTGAATAGACTTGAACCTAGGTGATTGTTGAACTTGTGTAGGCTGAACTTGGTTAACTTGTGATGTAGTTGCGGCTTGTAAACATCAGGAGTTCCCTGCGACTGCGTCTCTTAAGAAATATGAAACTTTGAGATGTCGTGTCGTTGCTTCGATCTCATACAAATCTGTTTCATCGAATTCTGGGTGTTCGGGTGGGATCATATTGAGAATTTTGGCGTCTACGGAGATTAGATAATCCAGACGTACTTTCGAGACATCGAATAATTGAGAAATGTTTTGCAATGCCAGCTTCTTGTTTATCGTAGTCTGCAATGAGTGTTTCGATCTGTTTCATTATCGTGGTGAGTTGTCTCCTCGCCGTTGTTCTGTTCTTCTTTTGTTGCGTGAGGTCGACAGCGACGGAATCTCGATCTTCATTGTCAGACATGATGTTCGTCGACGGGAAACTGTCTCGATTAGTGTGCGTTGTAAGTTGAGTAGTTTGGAGTTGTAGAGTATCCTGGTCTCGGCACCAAAATGTGGCTGTCTATCGCACACATTCGATCAGGTCCAAAAAAAAAAAACTGTGAGCACTGTGATTGTGTAATGGTAACACAAGAGACTATGGTAGACTGTAATACATCGTTTATTTCGGAAGACAAGTCTGGCATCAAAGTACAATTAGAACAATTCACACTAAACATGCACTAAAACACCTTTTATATAGGGTTAATAGGATTACATCGCGGATTTTAAAATTGGAGGAAAAACGCTATGATTGGTGTGCCATGTGAGAAGGTCACTATAGAATAAACATTTCGGCTTAATCCGCTACAAAGTTGCGACTTCTCTTGCGTTCGCTGTGACAAAGGCATGTTTGTGGACATTACGTAAATGGCTTACAATAAATTGATTTGTGCTTCTTTGTCATAGGAATACATGTATTGTGAGGTGAAATGAAGCATGAAACGGCTTCTAACAGACATAACTCAGAGAATAATGCTTGGAATCGAATGAAACCAAAACGAACAAATACAGAAAATGGTTGTCTATCGATACAAAGTAAATACGAATGAAAAATAATAACTATAATTAAACAACAACAAATATAATTGAATCGAGAAACACACACGTGGATAAGCATCCACGATAAGAATGATATCAACCCTTTTAGAAATTCTGAAAATCAGCGTGTCCGGATTGACCCTGCAGTATTTGTGTAAGTTGTGTTTAACTTTCAGTCGATGTAGCGTGTCTAGCTGTGTCATTTCAAACACGCATAGAAAAGTCACTGTTCAATTTTTCACACTTAGTTCATATTATTTTATTGTAACTATTATAACTTGTATTCAGTGGATCGATTTTGATTACAGCCTGTAAATCGCTATATATGCAATTTTATTTTATGTGTCAGAAAAACGTAAGTATGCGAAAGTCGAAAATTGATGTCCGATCTAATTAATTGACCTCTTCACCCAAATTACTAGTAATTCATGCAATTCACGTAAATGGCTTACAATAAATTGATTTGTGCTTCTTTGTCATAGGAATTCATGTATTGTGAGGTGAAATGAAGCATGAAACGGCTTCTAACAGACATAACTCAGAGAATAATGCTTGGAATCGAATGAAACCAAAACGAACAAATACAGAAAATGGTTGTCTATCGATACAAAGTAAATACGAATGAAAAATAATAACTATAATTAAACAACAACAAATATAATTGAATCGAGAAACACACACGTGGATAAGCACCACGATATACTCGGGGCGCGAGAAAACGTACATCGCACAGTAATGAATATGTTTGTTGTTGATTCAATTCAAATAGTAAAAGACATATTTGTTCACTAATATATGTACATGTATTACAACTTTAAAGTTCAGACTTCGACAGATGATAAATCCGTTCTTGGGCTTGTATCGCGGCCTTGCGTGTTGATCGTCTCAGATAGAATGGGTGGCTGTTCTGAGTAGGGGGTTGCGTTGTGATTGAATTACCCGTTTCCAATGAGGCGATGGGTGTAGATTCGGAATAATCTGTTGAAGTATTCTCTCGGGGTGAAGTCGACAATTCGTTTGTTGGTGTGATATTGCTTATCTCCAGTGGATACAATTTAGCAATTGGTCGATTTGTAACTCCGAATTTGGTTTGGATTTCAGCGGTTCGGATCAGTCCATCGCTACCTGGCAGTAGTCGCGTTACCCGTGCTAATTGCCAATTTACTCGTTTGCGCACGTAGTCGTGAA